GTAAATATCTTCCTAATCGTGGAATGATAGTTCTGTAAGCAGTTAACCTCCTTAATACTAAGGTGTTAAAAATTAATAGGGTTAGAAAGACCACCTGATGAAACTTAAAAGCTTTTGCACAACAAAGGAAACTATAAGCAAAATGAAAAGACAGCCCTCAGATTGGGAGAAAATAATAGCAAACGAAGCAACAGACAAAGGATTAATCTCAAAAATATACAAGCAACTCCTCCAGCTCAACTCCAGAAAAATAAATGACCCAATCAAAAAATGGGCCAAAGAACTAAACAGACATTTCTCCAAGGAAGACATACAGATGGCTAACAAACACATGAAAAGATGCTCAACATCACTCATTATCAGAGAAATGCAAATCAAAACCACAATGAGGTACCATTACACGCCAGTCAGGATGGCTGCTATCCAAAAGTCTACAAGCAATAAATGCTGGAGAGGGTGTGGAGAAAAGGGAACCCTCTTACACTGTTGGTGGGAATGCAAACTAGTACAGCCACTATGGAAAACAGTGTGGAGATTTCTTAAAAAGCTGGAAATAGAACTGCCATATGACCCAGCAATCCCACTTCTGGGCATACACACCAAGGAAACCAGATCTGAAAGAGACACGTGCACCCCAATGTTCATCGCAGCACTGTTTATAATAGCCAGGACATGGAAGCAACCTAGATGCCCATCAGCAGACGAATGGATGAGGAAGCTGTGGTACATATACACCATGGAATATTACTCAGCCATTAAAAAGAATTCATTTGAATCAGTTCTAATGAGATGGATGAAACTGGAGCCCATTATACAGAGCGAAGTAAGCCAGAAAGATAAAGACCATTACAGTATACTAACACATATATATGGAATTTAGAAAGATGGTAACGATAACCCTATATGCAAAACAGAAAAAGAGACTCAGATGTATAGAACAGACTTGTGGACTCTGGGAGAAGGCGAGGGTGGGATGTTTCAAGAGAACAGCATTGAAACATGTATATTATCTAGGGTGAAACAGATCACCAGCCCAGGTTGGGTGCATGAGACAAGTGCTCGGGCCTGGTGCACTGGGAAGACCCAGAGGGATCGGGTGGAGAGGGAGGTGGGAGGGGGGACCGGGATGGGGAATACATGTAAATCCATGGCTAATTCATTTCAATGTATGACAAAAACTACTGTAATGATGTAAAGTAATTAGCCTCCAACTAATAAAAATAAATGGAAAAAAAAAAAAAAAGAAAGACCACCTGAAAACATAGGTCCATTCTGTTATAACACATACAATAAATATTGTTACAGTTTCTGGCAGTCAAACCAATGAGATGTAACTGTGTTTTGTTTTTGTTTTTGTAATTAAATGATGTATAGAAAGAGACATTTATTTTAAACTGTGATCGATGGAAACTTAGGCTTCACATAGTAGCCTGATTGTTAGAATTAAACATTATAATTGTTAATTCCTTTAAAAGCAGACTGTTTTTGTTACCACTGAGCCCATTTCTGCTACTTATACATTTGATAATGTTTCTTGATTATACTAGATTCTATTTAAGCATTTACAACTAATTAAGGAGATCAGTCTGAAGAATTTGTCAATGTTTTTCCATTTTAGTGTATGCTAATTCTTACACAGATTTATTCTGAGGTTTACAGAATTAAACCTTGGAATCTACTTTTTTTGGTTCAGTCAGTAAGTTGTCCACATCATTCTTTTTTTTTTTTTTTCATTTTAACAGTTTTTAATGAAAGCTGTAGACAAGATGACTTTATTCCTGCATCTTCTCAATTGTTTCTTCCTTATATTTGCCCTTTTCCTTTCCTACTGTCCACATCATTCTTTTTCAACCTACTTTATTTCTCTATATGGTTTGCTTCTAGAGAACCTCTTCTGAGTTACTAATCATAAGTTTACAAGTTGACAGTAGTGACCCAAGTCAGTCGGATATATAAATATGAATAAGTAAGCAGTTCTTGGTTTGAAGATGGCATAGTTAAAAATGTTGCTTGAGTTGGTTTTGCTAGATTGACAAGTAATATCTAGGGGAGTACACAGTCCATAATAATTTATCATTTACCAGAAACATAAAGGTTATACTGGCTGTTTCATTGTACTTTAGATGTGTGTGATCAAATGGCTACTTTTTTTAGCTCAAAGTTGGGGTTAGAGAACAAGTTATATCTAATTTTAGCTCCTTGATTGAATGCTCCTGACTTTGTTACTGAGTGCTTATAACCCAGCTACTTGATTTATTTAATCTTCACAGCAGCTTATTAGCTAGGAACTTTTATTCCCATATTGTAGATGAATTGACTGAGGCTTAGAGATGTAGCATCATTAAAGGTCACATAGCAAGTGAGTGGTACAGCAAAAATCAGCATACAGGAAATCTGAATTCAGAGCCAATCTCTTAACCTTCCTCATAGCTATTTTTATTAATTAACCAGAAATAGTAGAAGGAGTTGAAATTGTTTGCCATATAGAAGTAAAACCAAGGTTTAACCAGAGAAAATATTTAGTTCAGTAAAAGATCAGAAGTCAGCATAAGGGTTATAGTCTCTTATAAAATTGAATTTTGGAGCTGTTACAAAGAAAATATATATACAGAGTATAATATTTCACAATTTGAGAATACTTTTTTAAAACTCTTACATTTTAGAAGACTTTTAAGCTATTGTTAAATGAGGTTTTATTGCTTTTATGAAGTTTTGTAAAGAAAGACAGTGGATTTTGATCCTGGGTTCTCTATCTACTAGTCTTGTGAAATTTTTGGATGTTGCTTGAACTTTCTGTACCTGTGATTCCTTACCTATAAAGTGAAGATAATAATAGGGTTCTTTGTCAAGCACTGAGAATAGTACTAAATGGCATTATGAAATTCAGTTCAGCTCAGTCGCTCAGTCATGTCTGACTCTTTGCGACCCCCTGAACTGCAGCATGCCAGACTTCCCTGTCCATCACCAACTCCTGGAGCTTACTCACATTCCTGTCCATCGAGTCAGTGATGCCATCCAACCATCTCATCCTCTGTCGTCCCCTTCTCCTCCTGCCTTCAGTCTTTCCCAGAATCAGGGTCTTTTCCAATGAGTCAATTCTTCACATCAGGTGGCCAAAGTATTGGACTTTCTGTTCAGCATCAGTCCTTCCAATGAATATTCAGGACTGATTTCCTTTAGGATGGACTGGTTGGATCTCCTTGCAGTCCAAGGGACTCTCAAGAGTCTTCTCCAGCACCACAGTTCAAAAGCTTCAATTCTCCCATCCTCAGCTTTCTTTATGGTCCAACTTTCACATCTATACAGTACATGACTAGATAGACTTTTGTTGGCAAAGTAATGTCTCTGCTTTTTAATATGCTGTCTAGGTTGGTTATAGCTTTTCTTCCAAGGAGCAAGCATCTTTTAATTTCATGGCTGCAGTCACCATCTACAGTGATTTTGGAGCCGAAGAAAATAAAGTCAGCCACTGTTTTCACTGTTTTCCCATCTATTTGCCATGAAGTGATGGGAATGGATGCCATAATCTTCATTTTTTGAATGTTGAGTTTTAAGTCAGCTTTTTCATTCTCCTCTTTCACTTTCATCAAGAGGCTCTTTAGTTCTTTGCTTTCTGGCATAAGGGTGATGTCATTGGCATATCTGAGGTTATTGATATTTCTCCCAACAGTCTTGATTCCAGCTTGTGCTTCATCCAGTCCAGCATTTCTCATCGTGTACTCTTCATATAAGTTAAATAAGGTTAGGTAGTGTTGTTATTATTGCAGTTATTTTCCCATCTATATTATATTATGTGCGCATCCGTCTGTATTAATGAACACCTTTCATGGATGGAAAATTAATTCCGCTTCTTGAGTCTAATCTCTAGTCCTTAATCTTATCTTCCTTTACTTCCTCTTTCTCAGCTACTCACTATTTATGTCTTCTTTTATACTTTATATAATTTGTAAGCCAACTTCAACCTTTTTTGGAATAAAATAGAATATATATAAATACAAATAGACATTTTTATTTCCAGAATTTAGCACTGTTAGTGCATGGGCTTTTTGTGTCCACAGATATATTTCTATTTCTTAGAACAGGAAGTTCTAGTTTTTAATAAATAAAATATCTATTGAATAAGGGAATGAATGACTTCACATTTGTCACATATTTTGTATAGGCCTATTATCTTCAGCCTAAATTTCCCATTCTCTAGATCAAAAAGATACCCAAGTTGTTAATGTTTTTCCTTAAAAATGGTACTGATTACTTAGTAAACTAATTCATGTGTGATTTGACCAGTATAGAATTAAGAGGATCATCATATCTTTTATTCCATGTGTATTTGTCTGTCACGGTATTTAAAGTCGCATATAGGAGGGACCGCAGTACTTATGACTCACTTGGCATAATGTCACAAGTCAAATACGTTGCCTTCTTTCCCAGTTTACATGTTTTGTTTTTTTTTAAGTACCACTGGATATTAGGTATTTCTCTTTTAAACAATTGTACCATTAATTCTTTCAACATTTAGTATAAGTTTGCTAATATAGTTTCTTATTTCTTCATATTCTATACATGGAGATTAGACCCAGTTATTCTTTTCTTGTTAAATCTTTTTTGTCAGTCTAGTAATATAAAAGAAAATGAATCTCCATGCCTTGACATTCATCTTTAGTGATCTGCATCTTCTAGTATTTATCACTTTTCAGAGTCAATGTCTTTTTAATATTTGTCCCGGAACTTACCTCTTAGTCATCTGTTCTACTTTGGTCTAGTCTTCTAGATTTGAAATTGCCTTTTCCCATTTGAAAGAAAAAAAAGTTCTCTTAGATAGTTTTATTTCTTACAGTGCCTTTCACTTATCTGTAGTGACTTTTTTTAAAATCAAAATTAGTTTTTTACTAGAAGACTTGAAATTTTTTAGACTCTTAATATTTTCTTGCTAGCTAAACATTTGTTTTGTTGTATATATAACCTCTCATATTATCATAGTGATTTTTTCTGTTTCTTTTCAGCTGGTTGGTGGAGAATTTGACTTGGAGATGAACTTTATTATCCAAGATGCTGAAAGCATAACGTGCATGACAGAGCTTTTGGAACACTGTGATGTCACATGTCAAGCAGAAATATGGAGCATGTTTACAGCCATCCTGCGAAAAAGTGTTCGGAATTTACAGACTAGTACAGAAGTTGGGCTCATTGAGCAAGTATTGCTGAAAATGAGTGCTGTAGATGACATGATAGCAGGTATGGGATTATCTGATAGGAAAGTATAATTTAAATGTTCATATACTTCTCTTATTCTTTAGTTTAATATAGGTTTGTTGAAGCTACTTTGTTTTAAAATAGATAAGTCACGATGTATTGGAAATGTGCCTTTTATATTAAGGGAAAACCTGAAGAATGAAAGATGATTTCTGTATTAGACAGATATAATTACTATTTTGGTTTTCCAGGTTTTAGAAAATCTGAGTAATGTGGAATAAGTGCTCTGAGATCTATCAGAAAAATGAACGGTGCCTTTCTATGTAGAACTTAAGCTTTTACATAATCAAAATACTACATACATATTACATTTCTTTAAAATTGGTACTTTATTAAAAGTTCTCTGACCTCCATCTTCTTTAGCCTGACATATGAAACAGGAAGTGCTAAAGGCCTTAGGACAAGCATGCTATAATTTTTGGAAATGTCAATCTTACTTTGATATTTTTTGGAGGAATTTTTGTATTAAATGCAGACATTGTGGCTTAGAGTATACAATTTGCGTGACATTTCAAGATAAAAGTTTAATAATTTTGTGTTGTTATGTGTTATTTGAAATAATAATTTTGATATGTGTAATTCTTCATCATCAGTCCTTTACTCACCTGCAGATCCATTTCCCTCAGTGGTTAGATGCACTTAAGTAAAAATATTTTGAAAGATGGTCCCAGAACACCAGCTATTCCCAGAAAATAAGGAGTTTATGATGTTGATTCTCTTAAGCCATGAGTCTTTAGCCTAACTTTCTTCTGACATGAAAAGGTTTCATAATTCTAAAAGTACTAGTATAATTCCTCACAATATCTGATCATATCTGATCTTTAAAAATAATTCAAACAGCAGAAAATCCTCTGTAATGTTTTGCTTTATGCATAATTAGTTTTAATATCAGTAGAATAAAATATTAAACAGGAAAGAAGGAATGAAGAATAAAGATCAGTGCTTTTTAAAATTTAAACAATATTTCACAATTTCATTTTTCTTATAGAATATATTAAATTTTTGTAATTGCTTTCAAGGTGGCATTTATCTCTATTTCGAATGATTTAGCATTCTCTTGTCTTGCTTGCTGATGGTTAACTTGAAATATTAGAATCAAAATTAAAAGATATTTTTGATGGAGATATGGTACCCTTTCTCTAAATTTTAACATTAGCAGGAATTTATTTGTATAAACTTACATGTACACATGTTGTATAGAACATCATTTGATCTTTAAATCCTCGTATCTGGGTTTAAACCCTTAAAAGTCTTTCCTTTTTCTTTCTTTCTTTTTTGTAAATAAAGTGCACTTTATAGAGTACACTTTAGAAAGTGAGCCACAATTCTGAACATACTATACATAACTGATGAGTACTGAAGTAAGGTGATAGTAAGCTTGATATTACCAAGAAACTCATATCTTCACATTTTCTGTTATATAAACCTCTTAGTTTACTTATCCCTTATTCTTGTTAATAATATGGATAACAAAATTTTCACTTTTTGTTATTTAAACATTAAAAAAGTGTTAGAAAAATTTACAGTACTTTACTTTTCAGTAGAGAAATTTAAATCTAGATAACATACTAATGAAGCCCCAGTAACTACCAAAACCCTACTAAGTTTTCATTCTGAGTGTTTTGTAGCATGCTACATTAAAAGAGATTCTTTTCATTTAATAATGTTGAAAGTATCTCTAGAAGGTGTTTAAACATCTATTGTAAATTGATAGTATATTTTCATAGTATTTTTTCTCCTTTAAAAATCTTGTATGAGAAAAGAAGAGTTGTTATAGTGAAATTAAAAATTGAGGTGCTTGTTTATGTTATCTGTATAATAAGAAATTTTAATAATTATGTAAGTAAATGCAAATTTAGTAGATCTTCTTTTTTGACATATATAGGAGATGAGATAAAGGTTTGGAAATACAGTTCTTTTACTGTAGTATGTGTAGACATGCTTGAAAGAAATCTTTGATGATTTTGCCATTTCAGCTAGTTGCTTAAAAATGCTTAATATTAACTTGAGGTTTTAAAGTGCTTGGTTTTTATCTAGAATTTTTTCTTAGAAATAGATCACCTGGCTAATATATAGTAACTTTGGACATTTTTATAATTTGAATAATGAATGATCTTTCATTTAAAATGTCTCTTTAAAATGGCATATCCACAGTACAGTTTTATCATAGAGATTGCTTACTTACAGTGGTGTTATGAGTAAGTCAATTTATTGATGACTTAACCATATTATGTTTTTATTTTGAAATACATAATAAATATTTTTAAAGTCTCAAAGTTCAGCTATTAATCTGTGATATTAAATAATGTATATATCAATAGCTAATTATTTCAGTTTATCCTAACCTAAACTATTAATTGATGATAAGCTTCTTATAATGTTTATGTGTATTTATTATAACTTGTATAGTATCTGAATTCTTAGTAAGTGCTTTAGAAATTGAGATGTATATTTAAATGTTTAATTTCTTGCAAAGAATGACTCATAGAGGTACTGTGACTCACAATGTCTAGAGATGAGAAAGTAATCAGAGACAAGAGATTAAATATATATTTTTTTCTTATCTAGTGAGTTGGTATGTCTCTTGTATGCACATAAATACATTGTCATAATGGATATCACTAGTCAGGGGTTGAAATGGTACTTCCATTTAGAGACTAGTGGGTAAAAATCAGAGCTCTGAAGACTTACTGCCTAGGTTTGAATTTTAACTGTACCACTTACTAGAGTGTGTGCTTTGGCAATGGAATTAAGTTACCTGTGCCTCACTTCCTCATTTTTAGAAGAGGTTAATGATAGTACTTAAGCTTGTTACAGGGATTTGTGAAGTTAATCTTTGTAAACCACTTGGAATGATGCCAGGCAAGGAGTGAGTACTCAGAATTGTTGCTGATGGGCTAGGGGATATTTCAAGAATATATTTTTTTAAGAGTAGATAATTCTAAATCATTATGTGGTCAAACATCAGTTTTCATTTGAAAATAACAAATTTACAATGTTAAATCATTGTACCTTTGCATATTTTTGCCTGTCTTTCCCTGCATATAGCAGATTTATGTGTATGTATGTGTATTCTGGGAATTTATAAAATCCATTTTTTATGACTTTCAAAGAGAACTTAATTGAAATCATAATTCTGATGGGAACAAAAAGGTCTTTAAAGTATTCTTTTCTTATATGATGATTAATAATTGTTAATTTGAATGGCTATTCATGAGGTTATTGGCTATAATGGATACCAATATATATGTAGAAATGACGAGATAACTTTTGCTCTTTCTAAAAGTGTATTACCTTGACAGATGACAGCTCATGACTAGAGTTCAGAATAACTTTATTTTCCTTTGAAGATCTTCTAGTTGATATGTTGGGGGTTCTTGCCAGCTACAGCATCACTGTCAAGGAATTGAAGCTTTTGTTCAGCATGCTTCGAGGAGAAAGTGGAATCTGGGTAAGCTGTGGTCAAAGGGAAAAGTATTCAATATCATTGCATTAATACTTAATGTTCAACAGTTTGTCTCTAAAGAGCTATAAACTTGAATTGGTAATAAAATTGCTCCTCTTAAATAGTTCAGTAAATGATTTAAAAATAATTTTCTCTCTAGCTAGAAAACAGTCTGATGGTTAAGGTGATATATTAGATATTTTTGTTAAATTTGTACAATGACATTCCTTTTTTTTGTTTCCTTAGCCAAGGCATGCAGTAAAATTATTATCCGTTCTTAATCAGATGCCACAAAGACATGGTCCTGATACTTTTTTCAATTTCCCTGGTTGTAGTGCTGCGGTAAGTTTTAGATACTTGTTTGTTTTTATTTAAGTCAGTTCTATTATGGCATAATTTACCCACAGTCAAATTCAGCAATTTAAAAAGTAGAGTTTGGCTATTATAAACAGTGCTTCCATGTCCTGGCTATTATAAACAGTGCTCATAATAGCCAGGACATGGAAGCAACCTAGCTGCCCATCAGCAGATGAATGAATAAGAAAGCTGTGGTACATATACACATGGAATATTACTCAGCCATTAAAAAGAATTCATTTGAATCAGTTCTAATGAGATGGATGAAACTGGAGCCCATTATACAGAGAGAATTAAGCCAGACAGATAAAGAACATTACAGTGTACTAACACATATATATGGAATTTAGAAAGATGGTAATGATAACCCTATATGCAAAACAGAAAAAGAGACACAAATGTACAGAACAGACTTTTGGACTCTGTGGGAGAAGGCGAGGGTGGGATGTTTCGAGAGAACAGCATCAAAACATGTATATTATCTAGGGTGAAACAGATCACCAGCCCAGGTGGGATGCATGAGACAAGTGCTCGGGCCTGGTGCACTGGGAAGACCCAGAGGGAGTGGGTAGAGAGGGAGGTTGGAGGGGGGAGAAAAAATAAAAAAAATTAAAAAATAAAAAGTACAGTTTGATGAGTTTTGAATAATCCCTTCACTGTCACCACAGTCATGATTTAGAACAATTCCATCATTCACCAAAATTTCCTTGTCTCTTTGAAGCCATTTCCCTCTCCCTGGTCCTCTCCTTTGCAGCCTTTGATTTATTTTGTGTTTATATAATTTTACTTTTTAAAAAATTTCATATAAATCAAATCAAATAGTATCTAAGTCTTTTTCTGTCAGCTTTCTTTTACTTAGCTTAATGCTTTTGAGATTATCCATTTTGTAATAGATTATCAGGAGTTTATTCTATTCCTTATATTCTGAGTAGTATTACATTTTATGGATATATACTACAGTTTACTATTCACTAGTTGATGGACTTTTGGGTTTTCAGTTTTTGGTTATTATAAGTAAAACTATTAGGTCTTGAATGTAGATCTTCTGCAGGTATGTTTTCTTATCTCTTGAGTAAATACCTAAGAGTGGGATTGCTGGGTTTCTCATTAAGTGTGTATTTTGTTTCATCATAAACAAGAAAATTGCTTTCTGTAGTGAAAAATTTTGCATTCTCATAAGCAGTATATGAAAATCACAGTTGATCTGCATCCTGGACATTCAGTTCAGTTCAATTCAGTGCTGTCTTTTAAATTTGAGACTTGTAAATGCTAGTGTAAACGTAACTCAGTGTAGTTTTAATTTTGTGTTGCCCTTATGGCTGATACTGAGCATTTTTCTTGTGTTTATTGGCCATTCTTAAATCTTTTGTGATGTTTGTGTTCAAGTCTTCTGTTCACTTTAAAAAATGTGATTGTTTGTCTTGTTATTTCAAGAGTTCACTATATATTTGGGATATAAATTAATTAGGAAATGCATTTGTCAAATATTTTCTCCCAATCTGATGCTTGTCTTTTTATTTTCTTAACAAATATTTCTTGAACTGCAAAGGATTTTAATTTTGATGAAGTTCAATTAAAATTTTCTTTCTTTAATGGCATATGCTTTTTGTAGTCTAAGAATTGGTATAAACCAAGGTTATAGAGTTTTGTTCTCTTACATATTCTACTGAAAGTTGGTTATATTAGCTCTTATGTTTAGGTCTTATGTTAGGATCACACTAAGATCCCTTTTGTGTGAATTTTTAAAATATGGTGTGAAGGAAGATTGGAGGTTAAGTTTTGTTTGTTTTAACATGTGACTATTGGTTATTTCATAACCATTTGTTGAAGCAACAGTTCTTTTCACTTTGGATTGTGTTGATACCTTTCTTGAAAACTGGCCATTTTTCTGTGGATCTAATTCTGAATATTCCAACTCATGAAACACAATATATTTCTCCCTTTGTTTCATTTTCTTTTGATTTTTCAGTGTTTTGTAGCTTTTAGCATGCAAAGTATTAAACATTTTGGGTTAAATTCATTCAGAAATATTCCATATTGTTTTATGTTAATATATAAAAATGCAAAATTTTATTATTGTTGACCTTACCTCATGAGACCTTACTAAACTCACTTACTTGTCCTAGCAAGTTTTAGTAGATGTAGATACCTTTTAATTGCATTTTGTACTTTATTACACTGGCTAGGACCTACAGTTAGTAATCGTAACAGTTTTGACTTAGTCTTAGGGAAAGCATTAAATATTTCACTATTACATATGCTATTAGCATTACATTTTAAGATAATGTCCTTTATCAGGTTGAGGAAATTCACTTCTATTCGTATTTGCTGGGCATTTTTTTTCACCATCAGTATATTAATGTCAGTGTTGAATTTTGTAAAATGCTTTTTCTGATTTTATTGAAATGATCATATAATTTTTCTTCTTAATCTTATTAATGTGGTAAATTACACTGACTGATATTTCAGTGTTAAATCACCTTTGCATTCCTAGGAAAAAATATATTTTATCACAGTGTAACAACCTTTTCATACAATACTGGATTTGATTTGCTAATATATTACTAAGAAAATTTACAGTTATTTTTATGATTGGTTTGAGGATACATTTTTCTTTTCTGGTAAAATCTTTCTCTGGTTGTGATGTTCAGTTCAGTCGCTCAGTTGTGTCTGACTCTTTGCGACCCCATGAATCGCAGCACACCCCGCCTCCCTGTCCATCACCAACTCCCAGAGTTTACTCAAACTCTTGTCCATCGAGTCGGTGATGTCACCCAGTCATCTCATCCTCTGTCATCCCTTTCTCCTCCTGCCCCCAGTCCCTCGCAGCATCAGGGTCTTTTCCAGTGAGTCAACTCTTCGCATGAGGTAGCCAAAGTATTGGAGTTTCAGCTTCAGCATCAGTCCTTCCAGTGAACACCCAGGACTGATCTCCTTTAGGATGGACTGGCTGGATCTCCTTGCAGTCCAAGGGACTCTCAAGAGTCTTCTCCAACACTACAGTTCAAAAGCATCAAGTTTTTGATGCTCAGCTTTCTTCACAGTCCAACTCTCACATCCATATATGACCACTGGAAAAACCATAGCCTTGACTAGATGGACCATTGTTGGCAAAGTAATGTCTCTGCTTTTTAATATACTATCTAGGTTGGTCATAACTTTCCTTCCAAGGAGTATGTGTCTTAATTTCATGGCTGCAGTCACCATCTGCAGTGATTTTGGAGCCCCAAAAATAAAGTCAGCCACTGTTTCCACTGTTTCCCCATCTATTTGCCATGAAGTGATGGGACCAGATGCCATGATCTTAGTTTTCTGAATGTTGAGCTTTAAGCCAACTTTTTCACTCTCCTCTTTCACTTTCATCAAGAGGCTTTTTAGTTCCTCTTCACTTTCTGCCATAAGGGTGGTGTCATCTGCATATCTGAGGTTATTGATATTTCTCCCGGCAATCTTGATTCCAGCTTGTGCTTCTTCCAGCCCATCATTTCTCATGATGTACTCTGCATATAAGTTAAATAAGCAGGGTGACAATATACAGCCTTGACATACTCCTTTTCCTATTTGGAACCATTCTGTTGTTCCATGTCCATTGGTTGTGATGTTAAGGATCATAAACTCATTTCCTTGTAAAATGGGTTGGAAAGTATTCATTTCTCTCTATTGAAGAGTTTGTGTAGAATTGATAATACTTACTTTTGAATGTGGGCTTCCCAAGTGGTACTAGTGGTACAGAACCTGTCTGCCAGTGCAGGAGACGTAAGAGACACACCTTTGATCCCTGGGTCAGGACGATCCCCTGGAGGGGGGCATGGCAACACACTCGACACACTCCAGTACTCTTGCCTGGAGAACCCCATGGACAGGGGAGCCTGGCGGGCTACAGTCCATAGGGTGGCAAAGAGATGCGACTGAAACGACTTAGCACACATGGACACACACACACACACACACACTCTTGAATGTATGCTAGAATTCACTATTGCAGCCATCTGGGTCTGGTATTTTGTTCGCGAGAAGGTTTTAAATTATGAACTTCATTTCTATAGTAGATATAGGAAAGTTTTTTGTTTGTTTTGAATGAACATTGGTAGTTTTGTCTTTCATGTAATTTTTTGGTTAATTTCAGTTATCAAATATATTGGCATAAGATTGTTCATCCTGTCCTCTTATTATCCTTTTAATGTCTGTAGGATGTGTAGTGATGCCTCCTTTTCCATTCTTGTTACTATAATTTCGTTCAGTCTGTCTAGCTGGAAAGTGAAAGTGAAAGTCACACATTCATGTCCTACTCTTTGCGATCCCATGGACTGTAACCTGCCCAGCTCCTCTGTTCATGGAATTCTCCAGGCAAGGGAGTATTGGAGTGGGTTGCCATTTCCTTCTGCAGGGAATCTTCCTGACCAGGGATCAAATCCTGGTCTAGCTGGAAGTGTTTCCATTTTGTTCTTCTTTTCAAAGAAATAGCTCTTTCAATCTTCTTGATTTCATCATCTCAAGCCATATGGTAATATTGTAGAGCATATGTGGAATTTTTGGCTAGAACAACAAATTTTGATTTCTGAATCCTCTAGTTCATTACTGTAGAGGACTAGTCCTTAATATTTCTTGGCTTACTTTCATGTAAAAAAGAACTAATAGTACTTTCATAATGGAATAGGAGTTGTGAGCCTATAATGAAATAATGTACTGTTTAAGCACTGTAAAGTTGTAAAAAATAATGTAAATATTAATTGCTGTTTGGTTATTGTAAGTACTTCAGTGTTCTTGCAATCTCCCATTTTTTTAGCCATTCTCCTAATTTTATATTTTTTCCTGAATATTTTGTTACTAATCTTTTTTTTTAGGTTACCGTTTCACCAGCTATGAAACAAAACATAGGAACTTTAAAAAAAAATACAAGATGGAAGTCAATCATTTTATGTATCTGTCTGTTAGAGTGGAACATATATAATCTGCAGAGAAAACACTCACTGTGCCTAAGTGGGTGAGGGTTCTCTTAGATATAATAGTTCTGCTCACACACACACATATTTCTAATACATTCTACACAACTGTTGTTGACCTGATGTCTGATAGGTTTCAGTCTAAGGTATGGGAAAGAAGAGCAAAGTGTTTTGACTGAAATATAAGCAAGTTCCTGTTTTATATATAGAATTAACAAAGTTTAGCTACAACTGAATAAATGACTCTGGCTTAATAAATTGCCTGAATTGCCTCAGTATGGTTGCAGTTCATCCTGTTTTTAGCCATTTGGCTATCAGTTACCTATTAATATGCAGTACATTTTACATACACATAACACACAGAGATAATTTTAATGTCATTAGTAGCATATGTTTGAATTGTTTTTTCTCATGGGATATTGGTAGACTTATACTATCTATTCCCCTTTTCCTGGTTTTCCCTGCATCACTCATTTTCATAAAGAGTAGTTTGAATCAAGGGTATATTCTGTGTAGAGGAGGAAGTAGGGAAGGAACTGGAACTTTTATAACTATTATTTCATTTGAGTCATACAGTCTGTACAAGATAAGTGATATTACTGCTGTTGTCAGTTGAGGAAACTAAATAATAAGCCTCCGCAGCGTAGGATGTTGTTCATAGTCTTAAAGTAGAGTCACAACCTTAACAAGAATTTGCCTGATCTCAAATCCAATATTTCACTTAACAACAAATTGGGTCATTTTCAAACATGTTACTTCTGCTGTTGAACTGCTGAAAAATTTAGATAGGAGCTGATTTTAAACCCTTCCTATCACAAAACACCTATCACAGTGTTTTGACGATCTGCTTCTGAATGAGCATGAACTAGTGGCATTTTAGTAATAAGAAAATACATAGTGTTTGGACTGCTGCTCACATTGGTGCCTTTGGATGATTAAAATCATGATATCATTTACTTTCCCTCCAAAATGACCAAAATAACATATTAGGCCTTCTAAATTGTACTTCACATTGTGGAGATGCTTTCTATGAGTTTTGTTGCCTCCATATGGGCAATTTGGTAATATTTACAGAGAATTAATTGAATTCTTCAGTGATTTGTGTGAAGGTGAATGATAAATATAAGATTATATTTTATATGCCCTGTTACCTTTATGAATATATTGTTTGATTTGTTTTTCATGATTATTATCTATTTCATGAATTTGCTTAATTTAAGAAATAGTACACTTCTCTGTTCATTGAAATAGTTAAATGAATGCATCCTATCTGGACATCAGAATCTTTTCCATTTGTAGTTCTGCAAAATGAGACAGAAATGTAAATTTTGGAGTGCTTCCCTGGTAGCTCAGAGGTTAACATGTCTGCCTGCAGTGCGGGAGACCCGGGTTCAATCCCTGGGTCGAGAAGATCCCCTGGAGAAGGAAATGGCAACCCACTCCAGTATTTTTGCCTGGAGAATCCCATGGAGGTAGGATCCTGGTAGGCTACAGTCCACGGGGTCGCAAAGAGTTGGACACGACTGAGCTACTTCACTAGTCTAGGAGGCAGTGAGGGATACAGATTTCAGAGTTCTGTGGCCTCATTGGACACAATGAAGGACCCTGTTTATGGATACCAAAATATTGTAGAAGGAAGTATGGAAGAAATGTGAAGGCAGCTTAAACCCATAATCACAGACACAGTCCAAAGGACATGCCATTATCACAATGGGATAATGGGTATTTAGGCCTGAATGATTTAGGAGTAAATGAACCTGAGTTCCACATTAGGCAGTCCTCTCACAAAGTTAGCATTTGTGCACTGATTAAGGGAGCATGTATGCATTAAAGAGTTGAAAAAAGCTAGGGATACAATGTGTACTGTATGAAAGACTTTGGTTGGTAACATATGTAAGAACTGGAAGTTGAGTCATACCCTTTAGAAATGGGACATTAGGTCCCCAAAACATTTTTTCTAGCTGTTACTTATTAAATTTAAGACTATACTTCAATATAAGATAATAAATTTAGAATATATATGTAATAAAAAATAAATTTGAGAGAATGTCCTTGAGTAGAGTTAACCATCTTATTGAAGAGATTGGCCATAAATAAAGATCCCTATTTATCTGTGGAATTATTGTTGTTTTTGTTCAGTTGCTAAGTCGTATTCAGCTCTTTGTGACTCCGGGGACTGTAGCCTGCCAGGCTCCTCTGTCCATGGGATTTTCCAGGCAAGAATACTGGAGTGGGTTGCCATTTCCTACTCCAGGGGATCTTCCCGACCCAGGGATTGAACCTGTGTCTCTTGCATCTCCTGAATTGGCAGGTGGATTCTCTACACTAGTGCTACCTGGGAAGCCCCAAAGAATATTATTATATCATTATAATATGGGAAGCAAGACCAAAGACTATTGTTATATCATTATCACTGAAGCTTATTGTATTTTTCTTTAGTGAGATTTTTCTTTTTCTTGTTGTATTTAGTTCACTGGTGTTTGCAACTGAATGTGATTTAGAACTCTTTTGGTCTTACAATTTGGATAATAACAGATGGGTACCACATGCCTTTTCCATGGTGGAAGAATAGTTCTGGAAAACTTGAAGAGCAGTTCAATTCATTTTCTTTCCTGCATCTCTTAGTTCAACACATTGTCTAAGTTCTGATGTAGAGCTCAGTAGACCAGATGATGAGACTGATGATGTATTAATAGAAAGTGCTGGGGCCATTGGCTGGAAGTAAGAGATTGCTTGGATATGTGGAGTAATGGGGGAAAAGAGAAAAGAGTGAGCTGCCCTCACTCTTATGCTTATTATTGCTGCAGTGGTAGTGTTGTCATGAAATGCTGTTGCTGATATGGATGTGCACTTGGGTATGCTCATCATGGCAAGAGTTTGGAAACCATGAATCCAATGCTGTGCCCGTTGTGTTCCACAGGCATTAAGAACAAATGCATACATATAAGTTATTTTTATAGTTCTGTAGAATCACTATTCAATGTCCTCAATAAATATTTCTCCTGTTTACCTTAGTACTCTGAAGCAGCTATAGTAGGTGATGTCTGGTTTAGTGAAACTTATGGAGGTATAATCCAGCAGTAAACTTGGCAAGAATTACATTTTACTAACCAGCAAACAGAAAAATTAAGTAAAACATTTTCCTTTTTAAAAAGTTAAAAAAGCTATATTGATAATTAAAGTGGACTAATTGCTTAATATTAAAATCTGAAAGGACATGACATACATTGTATAGGAAAACTTGCATTTCATTTTTAAGGTTTGAGTCTTCGTATCAAATGATATGTTTCCATTTATGTGTTTGTGTGTTTTCCTTTTTTTTTTAATGCAGTAGGCATTTTGCTACTTTGAGATTTTTCAGTGATCACATATTGAATGTTTTCTATGTCTTAAGTCACAATGCAGGGAGTATAAACTGTATTTCTAACTCTTTAGGAACTCATTGGTAGACATAAAAGCACCTTGTTACAACAGGCTACTAAGTGCTATGTGCTAGTGACTCAGTCCTGTGGGAAAACAATGAAACAAGAAACTAGGCTATGGTGAAGTTCAGGAGAGCTTCACAAGAGAGAGATGTATTAGCCTGGAATTGAGGGGTAATTGGGATCTTATTGGAGGCTGTGTTTTGGGCAGAGTAGCATCATGTACAAACTGCGGAACAGGTAACAGAACAGAACATCTAACAGTTGGAACAGCTGGTATGTTCAGATATACTTTGGGATGGAAGGTAAGGCACTAGAAGAGAATAAGATTGAAAGGATTTGTTGGAGTCAGAGTGTAAAGAGCCTTGTGTAACCTTAAGAAACTTAGAATTTATTTTATATGCAGAGGATATTTAATATGGAAGCTATATGTTATATTTGGGTAAGTTCATTAGCAGCAATGTATGAAGGGTCTGCTTGGAGGAACAGATCAGTAATAAAAGCATTAAGGGTACTTATCTTTTATGTGAAGGAATTTAGATATCTCATAGGAAGATAAGTGAACTCACCTAGATATTTCTTGACTTCAGGTCAAGTAATATATTGCTTTCTCATTTCTTTTCCCTCGAGTGGCTAGTTTTTTTTTTTAATTACTATTATCAACTGAATATTGTATTAATTCCTTTCCTGCTTGTAAGTGGATCTGAGTCCTTTTTGATCATAAATTTCAATGGTTTAGTTTCTGAATGATAAACTTCATGTTCCCCTTCTTTGTTTCAGTATTAGTGTTATTTCTTAATACTTCTGTTTCTTCAATATTGATTCCATTAATATTTCTAACACAGTTGTTTTTTGATTGAAAATTCAGCTTCCTTTATCAAGTAAAAGATTACTGAAAACCTAATGTAAGCTGAAAATTTTGCAGCTATGTGTAAGGGACTGAATATTGGTGAAATTAAAGGAGGCTTTATTGGAGTATAGTTTGAGCCATACTATATAACTTAGAGATGAAACTTGATTTATTGAGTATTTGAAAGTGTAATGCTTCTATTGTCAACAAATAATATTAATAGATGACTTTAATAAGGTAATAATTTCTATTTTTATATTTGTCCATGATTCTTTGATACTCGTACCTTTGTTGTGTTTTAATCTGTGAAAGCCATACTTGAGCTTAGTTACTGCCGCATTTTCTTTAACTGATACTTTCCTATTTTTTATCATTACCTTGTAGGCAATTGCATTGCCTCCTATTGCAAAGTGGCCTTATCAGAATGGCTTCACCCTAAACACTTGGTTTCGTATGGATCCATTAAATAACATTAATGTTGATAAGGACAAACCTTATCTTTATTGGTAAGTTATATATTTAATTTTAGTACTTTTGACTTAAGCATTTCAATTTTAAAAAATATGTAACACAGTTTCAAGGCAACATAGTATGTAGAATAAGTAAATAAATATGTTAAACCTATAAAGATACAGTTATGTCAGTTTATTCATTTTTTGCTGTTGATTCTAGGCTATCTGCTCTACCATTCCCCCCCCCCCCAATTCCATTTTAAGAATAAAGTGTTATAGACCTTCTGTCTCGAGTCTGCACATATCAATTGTATGTTCTGAGTGAAGATGCTGATCAAGAAGAGAAAATGAGAAACAAACTACTGTCAGATTTCTTTCACTTTGCCTTTTGACTTACATGGTTCTGTGAGCACAATTAATCTATGCTTTGAAATACTGATTTTGATAACCATGTGCTGCTGCTGCTGCTAAGTTGCTTTCAGTCGTGTCTGACTCTGTGCGACACCATAGACGGCAGCCCACCAGGGTCCTCTGTCCCTGGGATTCTCCAGGCTAGAATACTGGAGTGGGTTGCCATGTCCTTCTCAAATGCATGCATGTATGCTAAGTCGCTTCAGTTGTGTCCGACTCTGTGCGACCCTATGGACAGCAGCCCACCAGGCTCCGCTGTCCACGGGATTCTCTAGGCAAGAATACTGGAGTGGGTTGCCATTTCCTTCTCCAGATAACCATGTGCGAGGTTATAATTAGATAAGATTAATTATTTAGTAGATAACTAACAGAAAGGGTGGATCATCCCAACAATGGGTTCACCTGTAAGACTCAGAACTTGGTCATTTTAGATTACCAATAATGCCAAGTCATAAAACATCAAACTTTCATTTATTACCTTACTATGTAGTAGGCATTATAAATGCTTACTTGTATTACATCATTTAATACTTATAGTGCTCTGAAATAAGATTGCTCGAGTTTAAGTCCTGCCTTTACCACTCACAGTTTATCCTGTGCTTTGGTGTCTTCAGCTGTAAAATGAGAATAATAATAGTACCTATCATGTAGGATTTAATGGTAGCATAATATTTTATGTGCTTTTTATATAATGACTAGTTCAGAAATGTGAGTGTTGAAAAATGTGAGCTATTGATAGGTTGTAGACTCTACTGCAGAAAGATTACATATGGATAGTATGTATGGATAATATGAGAGAGAGTTTTAACGAACATTTGAACTTCCAAACATAAATGGGGTTGAACTTCCAAAAGATCATTTTGGGAGATCATACTTTTATTGCAGTAGTACTGTCATTTGTCAGAACATTTACAGGTTTTTATGTGTGATTAAATAAACAGCTGGAGGACTATTTCTCTGGAAGAAAATAACTCTTATTTCTTAGTCACATCTTTTTTTCTTTTTTTCTGTTTTAGACAGTACATGTACTCCTTTGCTTGATTTTGCTTGATTACCTACCTTTTTTTCCAAACTTGGCTCTCCCTTTTTTTGTAAATTTGTAAGCTGTTTTCAGAGATATAATAGAATTAAAGAGCAAGTTGTTTTTGGAAACATTAACTGTGTATATGATTTCTGTATATGCTAATCCAGGTGATCATTGAAAGTTTATGAAATCTACTTGGTAGCCTTTTATTGACCATTAATTTGATTTTATGTATTTGTGTTACTTTATGTATTTGTGAAATTGAAATGTTAAAAGATTCTATAGTCTTCTGTTTTCCCAACTTAAATTTCTTCTTTTATTTCTAAAGTTTTCCTGTTTTAGTCTTTATTGGTACCTGTAATACCCTTTCTACCCTGTAGGTATGCAAGTTTTATTTTTATAATTGTGTTTTATATTATTTATATTATAGTAATCTTCAGGTATATTGTTCTTTGTAGCAGAGGATATTATATACTACTTTCAGTTTTCTTTGCAGTTTTCGTACTAGCAAAGGAGTTGGTTACTCTGCTCATTTTGTTGGCAATTGTTTGATCGTTACATCCCTGAAGTCCAAAGGAAAAGGTTTTCAGCACTGTGTGAAATATGATTTTCAACCACGCAAGGTATGTATAAGTAAATCATCTATTGAGAGTAATGCAATTCACCATTCCCACTATCTTAAAACTTAACTATTGTGACTTCCATAATATTCTCTTTTATTGGTTTTCTCATGACTCCTATCTCTTATCTCTGTCTACATTTTCTTTGTACTTTTATGTCTAACTTTTGACATAAAAAGATCAGTTTCCTGACCTCTTGCAGTGTCTGTTTCTCTTATTCACTCTCTCATTCGCTGTCGTGCTGTGATATATTCTGTGATATTCTTTCCATGAAGTCTCAGCATATTTATTGAGTGCCAGACACTGTTGTAGGCACAGGAGAGATGACAGTGAACAAAACAAACAACATCCTTTCTTTTGTGGAGTTTTTTTTTTCCCCCCAGGAATTTTTGTTCAGTTTCAGGGCATATACTACCCCATATCCACAGGAACCCATCCTAACAGATTTGGAACTCATGTAAGATGGAGGGACTGCTTCATTTCTTTTTCTTTCTTTTTTGTTATCCCATGTGTATTGTGCCACATACTGAAGAAAATACTATTTTGAATGGGGTTCTCAGATATATACCTTTAATTTTTACATGAGTCTAATAAAAAGTTTTCCCTTATGTAAGGGATAATTTAATTTTTATTTGTATTAAATGATGGCAATTTAGCAATAATTCACTTATATTAGAAAATAGCTTAAAAGCAATGATTTTAAATAAATGTATACATTAGAAGGGGATTTCTTTTTTTCTTGATACAAATCCCACTTATTTTCATATGATTCTCATTGTCTCTCCTCTAGAAATTCTGATTTATTAGATTTGGGATGAGACCTAGGCAGTATTTGTCAAATGTGTCAAATTATTTTGAATTTTAGTGGGAATTTGTTAGAAATACTGATCCTTGGACTTATTTTCATGGCAGGAATATATATGAGTTGTTAACAAATGCTCTATATGATTTTTCTCATCAGACAGGTTTGAGAAACAGTGCTTCAAATAGTAGAAATAAGAAACTTAAGAATCAAATAAAATTACCATTAATTAATAAAAAGAAGTTTAACCTGATTATTCTCTATCTCTCTTTTTTCTCTCTCTTTCTATGTCTTTACATTGCTGCCTTTTGAGAAATACATTCCCATTTGTAACAAATCTCTCTCTCTCTCTCTCTCTATATATATATATATATATATGTATATATATGTGTGTGTACATATATCTTGGTAGGATCATGGAGTGAAGTGGGTCTTGAAAGGCCTTCTGTAAAGATTTTTATAAAATCTTGAAAGTCATAAGTATTTTATTTTGTGCTAAATTGCTTCAGTGGTGTCCAACTGCTTGCAACCCTATGAAGTGTAGCTTGCCAGGCTCCTCCGTTCATGGGATTGTCCAGGCAAGAATACTGGAGTGGGTTGCCATGATCTTCTCCAGGGGATCTTCCTGACTTAAGGATCAAACCCATGGTTCTTAAATTTCCGACTTTGGGAGGCTGGTTCTTACTGTTTGATTAGTCAAGATAATTCCACTCTCTTATTTTTTCCCTTTGTGTAGTTTTCTCAGATGATACCCTAGCTAAGTTGTTATCCTTCCTAATAAGAAGTTTAGTTGGACTATCAAGAAGTGTTTTCCTAGTGCTATCACTTAACCAGATGTTTGACCTTGTGGAAATGAATGTAAATGATTAGCATATTACCTCATGTGTAGTAACGTGCTCAATTTGTACTAACTACTATTGATATTTGTATAAGTATCATGTTATATTTTTCTACTGAATTCTTAATATAGTCCTTTTTTATTGTTCCTGTGAGTATCTTTCTTTTATACTGCTATTTTTGAGTCTCAAACTAAATGCAGACCTCAGTGTACATTTATAGTATCAGTATACATACACACTCTCCAAGTTTATTCCTGTTTCCTTTAGTCAAAAACTATCAAGTCAAAACTTGGGCTTTTTTGGTTCAAAAAGTCACTTGTCTGTTATCTGTAGAGTACATCTTGATTTTCCTAAGGAAAGAAAATAGATAAGTTTATTTTCTTACAATTAAGTATTATTCATTTTGAGATCATTCCTTAAATTGTGTATTCATTTATTCACCCATTTAATCTTACATGTTGATGTTATGACCAAAAGCAAATTCCAAACTTAATTATGTGGCTAATAATTGGCTACCTTTGTTAATTAATTAAGTTGGTTACCACTACCCATTTAAGTGAAAAATTGGAAACCTTTTTAGATTCCCTTTTTAAAATTAGCACCTCAAGGCAGTTCTGTTAACTAGTTCCTGTCCCCCCCTTTTAGAATTACCAATGCCTTTATCTTAATGGCATCACTCACTCGATGGACATGAGTTTGAGCAAGGTCAGGGAGATAATAGAGGAGCCTGGCGTGCTTCAGTCTGTGGCATAGCAAAGAGTCGGACACGACTGAGCATCTGAACAACAGCAGCTCTTGGTCCTAACAGTCTCACATCCTCACTGCTGTCAGTTATGTTCCTATGCTATGGAGATGATCATGTCACTTTCCTGCTTTAAATTCTTTAGTGATACTGCGCTTCAGTTCAGTCGCTCAGTTGTGTCCGACTCTGTGATCCCATGCACTGCAGCACTCCAGGCCTCCCTGCCCATCACCAACTCCCAGAGCCTGCTCAAACTCATGTCCATTGAGTTAGTGATGCCATCCAGCCATCTCATCCTCTGTCGTCCCCTTCTCCTCCTGCCCTCAATCTTTCCCAGTGTCAGGGTCTTTTCCAGTGAGTCAGTTCTTTGCGTCAGGTGGCCAGTGTATTGGAGCCTGAGCTTCATCATCTGTCCTTCCAGTGAATATTCAGGACTGATTTCCTTTAGAATGGACTAGTTGGAGCTCTGCTGTCCAAGGGACTCTCAAGAGTCTTCTCCAACACCACAGTTCAAAAGCATCAATTCTTCAGCGCTCAGCTTTCTTTATAGTCCAATTCTCAATCCATACATGACTACTGGAAAAACCATAGCTTTGACTAGACAGACCTTTGTTGGCAAAGTAATGTCTCTGCTTTTTAATATGCTGTCTAATTTGGTCATAACTTTTCTTCCAAGGAGCAAGTGTCTTTTCATTTCATGGCTGCAATCACCATCTGCAGTGATTTTGGAGCCCTCAAAAATAAAGTCACTGTTTCCATTGTTTCCCCATCTATTAGCTATGAAGTGATGGGACCAGATGTCATGATCTTAGTTTTCTGAATGTTGAGTTTTAAGCTAACTTTTTCACTCTCCTCTTTCACTTTCATCAAGAGGCTGCTTAGTTCTTTGCTTTCTGCCATAAGTGTGGTGTCATCTGCATATCGGAGGTGATTGATTTTTCACCTGGCAATCTTGATTCCAGCTTGTGCTTCATCCAGTTCAGCATTGCTCATGATGTACTCTGCATACAAATTAAATAAGCAGGGTGACGATATACAGCCTTGGCGTACTCCTTTCCCGATTTGGAACCAGTCTGTTGTTCCATGTCTAGTTCTTAATGTTGCTTCTTTACCTGCATACAGATTTCTCAGGAGGCAAGTCGGGTGGTCTGGTATTCCCATCTCTCTAAGAATTACCCACAGTTTATTGTGATCCACAGAGTCAAAGGCTTTGGCATGGTCAATAAAGCAGAAATAGATGTTTTTCTGGAACTCTCTTGCTTTTTCGATGATCCAACAGATGTTGGCAATTTGATCTCTGGTTCCTCTGCCTTTTCTAAATCCAGCTTGAACATCTGGAAGTTCACGGTTCATGTACTGTGGAAGCCTGGTTGGAGGATTTTAAGCATTACTTTGGTAGCCTGTGAGATGAGTGCAATTGTGTGGTAGTTTGAACGTTGTTTGACCTTGCCTTTCTTTGGGATTGGAATGAAAACTGACCTTGTCCAGTTGACCTGACATTTTTTTGTAACTGAGGAAGAATGTCGTTTTGTGTTAATTTTATTTTGTGAGTTTTTTAGTGTACTATTTTATTTTGTAAATCAAAATGAGGAAAATTAATTTTTGTTCAAAGTATTTCAGGTAACTTGAAAAAATAATATTTTAGTGGTTGAAAATTACTGTTATGGCTTTATAAATATCATGCAAATTAAGTATGAAATAATTGAATAGTGTTTTTAAGTAATCTCAGAACAAGTTTGTGTTTTATATTTTTATGTTTGGGGGTAAAATGAGTCTAAATCCTTCCTTACTGGTGAAAGAATCTGTTCAAACACCTGTAAATTGTTTGTATTTTTCTGTTGTTTAGAAATGATGTTTATATATTATCTGAAATATGCTATTATCTGAAGCAAACTTTTATCTGAATTAGACTAAAGATTAGATTCACAAATTGTTAGAGAACTTAAACCATCTCATGTCAGAATGCTTTTTGTTGACACTAGTAACTATAAAATTAGAGCTCAGTATAAACTTATTCCTTGATTCTCAATTTATCGTCATATACTGCTAAGTTAGAATATATAACTACTCTTAGATTTAATAATTCTACATTGTGAAAATGAAATTATCTCAATCTTAGTATAGCTGTTAAAATGGTGTTCCTCTGACAGATTTTGCCTGACAATGCAATCCAGAGTAGAATCTTACATTATTCTTTCTCAGTTTACAATGTCCTTTTCTATCCACAGTCATCAACATGGTTTTATAATGCTGTATTTGTTTACTTGTCTAATGTATGGATCCTTCCACTGCTCCCTAAATTCCAGGGAATCTTGAATAAATAAATCTTGACCTATGATCTGTCTGTCAAAACTGTCAGTTTGCCTGACACACTGCCAATATTATTAAATGAATGACAACAAACATAATTATGTTTCCACAATTTTGGGATCTTGGTATAGTAAAAGAATATCAGTCTAGGGCTCCAAAGGTTCTTGCTCTATTTCCATCACACATTTATTCTCTATTAATAATTTCTGTCATCTGTAAAATGAGAAATGGGAGAGGGAATTTGACATATTTGTAGTGGATTATCATTAATATTCCTTTAAGTAAGTTTTTGTAGTGTGGGATAAATGTTATGATTGCCTTTAAACAATTATAACCAAACATTACATATTGATTTCCTTTTTTTTTTTCATTTAAGTGGTACATGATCAGCATTGTCCACATTTACAATCGTTGGAGAAACAGTGAAATTCGGTGTTATGTTAATGGACAGCTGGTATCATATGGTGATATGGCTTGGCATGTTAACACAAATGATGTAAGTTTTTATTTATCTGTATTTTAATGTATTTGAGTGTTTGATATATCACTGATTATAGCATGAATTGAATAATATAATTGGTAGAAACTAGCTTTATTTTGAAGTTTTTTTCTATTAAGTGAATTTTGCCTTAATTTAGAATAATTAAATTGCTAAAAGACACAACTGGTGATAGAAAAAAAAATTGGTTGGGTAGATTATTAAGTTTTAGGTCAAAATTTAATTGCAATATTGTGTTAGTTTCAGAATCTCAAGCATTAAAAGATGTGTATTATACTTTATTTTGATGTGAAAGGAGTACCTTAAATAGAATAAATATGTACAGTATGTTAATATTGTTTATTAGATTAATGGTGGTAAATACTGTGGAGGAAGGTTCAGTGGGAATAAATACAGAAAGTGTAGGTGTAGGGAAGGGAGAAGCCAGATCGTCCAGAGATGGCCTTAGTGTTGAGACCAGAGAAAGCCATGTGGGTGTTTGCAAGAAATACCCCCTTCAGTGGAAACATGAGTGCAAAGGCTTTGGGGCAGAAGTGAAAAGTTCATCTTGGTTTTTATATTTCTTTAAAGTTTATTATTTTTTCTTTAAAGGCTCGAACAATTTTTCACCATTGAGGATAATGTTTGCTGTGGGTTTGTCATATGTAGCTTTTATTATGTTGAGGTATGTTCCTTCTATCCCTGCTTTCTGGAGAGTTTTTATCATAAATGGATGTTGAATTTTGTCAAAGGCTTTTTCTGCATCTATTAAGATAATCATATGGTTTTCATCTTTCAATTTGTTAATGTGGTGTATTACATTGATTTGCGGATATTAAAGAATCCTTGCATTCCTGGGATAAAGCCCACTTGGTCATGATGTATGATCTTTTTAATATGTTGTTGGATTCTGTTTGCTAGAATATTTTTTGAGGATTCTTGCATCTATGTTGATCAGTGATATTGGCCTGTAGTTTTCTTTTTTCATGGCATCTTTGTCTGGTTTTTGTATTAGGGTGATGGTGGCCTCATATAATGAGTTTGGAAGTTTACCTTCCTCTGCAATTTTCCGGAAGAGTTTGTGTAAGATAGGTGTTAGCTCTTCTCTAAATTTTTGGTAGAATTCTGCTGTAAAGCTGTCTGGTCCTGGGCTTTTGTCTGCTGGAAGAGTTCTGATTATGGTTTCAATTTCCGTGCTTGTGATGGGTTTGTTAAGATCTTCTATTTCTTCCTGGTTCAGTTTTGGAAAGTTATACTTTTCTAAGAATTTTTCCATTTCTTCCAAGTTGTCCATTTTATTGGCAAATAGTTGCTGATAGTAGTCTCTTATGATCCATTGTATTTCTGTGTTGTCTGTTGTGATCTCTCCATTTTCGTTTCTAATTTTGTTGATTTGATTATTCTTCCTTTGTTTCTTGATGAGTCTGGCTAACTGTCAATTTTATTTATCTTCTCAAAGAACCAGCTTTTAGCTTTGTTGATTTTTGCTATGGTCTCTTTTGTTTCTTTTGCATTTATTTCTGCCCTAATTTTTAAGATTTCTTTCTTTCTACTAACCCTGGGGTTCTTCATTTCTTCCTTCTCTAGTTGCTTTAGTTGTAGAGTTAGGTTATTTATTTGGCTTTTTTCTTGTTTCTTGAGGTAGGCCTGTAATGCTATGAACTTCCCCTTAGCACTGCTTTTATAGTGTGCCATAGATTTTGGGTTGTTGTGTTTTCATTTGTTTCTGTGCATATTTTGATTTCTTTTTTGATTTCTTCTATGATTGATTGGTTATTCAGAAGCATGTTGTTTAGCCTCCATATGTTGGAATTACTAATAGTTTTTTTCCTGTAATTGAGGTCTAATCTTACTGCATTGTGGTCAGAAAAGATGATCGGAATGATTTCAATTTTTTGAATTGACCAAGGCTAGATTTATGGCACAGGATGTCATCTATCCTGGAGAAGCTTCCATGTGCACTTGAGAAGAAGGTGGAATTGATTGTTTTGGGGTGAAATGTCCTATAGATATCAATTAGGCCTAGCTGGTCCATTGTGTCTTTTAAAGTTTGTGTTTCCTTGTTAATTTTCTGTTTAGTTGATCTATCCATAGGTGTGAGTGGGGTATTAAAGTCTCCCACTGTTATTGTGTTACTGTTAATTTTCCCTTTCATACTTGTTAGCATTTGCCTTACATATTGCAGTACTCCTATGTTGGTTGCATATATATTTATAATTGTTACATCTTCTTCTTGGATTGATCCTTTGATCATTATGTAGTGTCCTTCTTTGTCTCTTTTCACAGCCTTTAAAGTCTTATTTTATCTGATATGAGTATTTCTAGTCCTGCTTTTTTTTTTTGGTCTCCATTTACGTGAAATATCTTTTTCCAGCCCTTCACTTTCAGTCTGTATGTGTCCCTTGTTTTGAGGTGGGTCTCTTGTAGACAGCATATATAGGGGTCTTGCTTTTGTATCCATTCAGCCAGTCTTTGTCTTTTGGTTGGGGCATTCAACCCATTTACATTTAAGGTAATTATTGATAAGTATGGTCCCGTTGCCATTTACTCTGTTGTTTTGGTTTCAAGTTTATACACCCTTTCTGTGTTTCCTGTCTAGAGAAGATCCTTTAGCATTTATTTAAGAGCTGGTTTGGTAGTACTGAATTCTCTCAGCTTTTACTTGTCTGTAAAGCTTTTGAGTTCTCCTTCATATCTGAATGAGATCCTTGCTGGGTACAATCATCTGGGTTGTAGATTATTCTCTTTCATTACCTTAAGTATGTCCTGCCATTCCCTTCTGGCCTGAAGAGTTTCTATTGAATGATCAGCTGTTATCCTTATGGGAATCCCCTTGTGTGTTATTCTTTGTTTCTCCCTTGCTGCTTTTAATATTTGTTCTTTGTGTCTGATCTTTGTTAATTTGATTATCATGTGTCTTGGGGTGTTTTGCCTTGAGTTTATCCTGTTTGGGACTCTCTGGGTTTCTTGGACTTGTGTGACTATTTCCTTTCCCATTTTAGGGAAGTTTTCAACTGTTATCTCCTCGAGTATTTTCTCATAGCCTTTCTTTTGAAAGCATTTGCCCTAAAGTCAGGAACAAGCAAGGTTACCCACCCTCACCATTACTATTCAACATAGTTTTGGAAGTTTTGGCCATAGCAGTCAGAGCAGAAAAAGAAGTAAAAGGAATCCAGATTGGAAAAGAAGAAGTAAAACGCTCACTGTTGGCAGATGACATGGTCCTCTACATAGAAAACTGTAAAGACTCTACCAGAAAATTACCAGAGCTAATCAATGAATATAGTAAAGTTGTAGGATATAAAATTAACACAGAGAAATCCCTTGCATTCCTATACACTAACAATGAGAAAAAAGAAAGAGAAATTAAGGAAACAATACCATTCATCATTGCAATGAAAAAAATAAAATACTTAGGAATATATCTACCTAAAGAAACATAAGACCTATATATAGAAAACTATAAAACACTGATGAAAGAAATCAAAGAGGACACAAATAGATGGAGAAATATACCATGTTGATGGATTTGAAGAATCAATATAGTGAAAATGAGTATACTAACCAAAGCAATCTATAGATTCAATGCAGTCCCTATCAAGCTACCAACGGTATTTTTCACAGAACTAAAACAATTTCACAATTTGTATGGAAATACAAAAAGCCTTGAATAGCCAAAGCAATCTTGAGAAAGAAGAATGGAACTGGAGGAGTCAACTTGCCTGACTTCAGGCTCTACTGCAAAGCCACAGTCATCAAGACAGTATGGTACTAGCACAAAGACAGAAATATAGATCAGTGGGACAGAATAGAAAGCCTAGAGATAAATCCACACATCTATGGACACCTTATCTTCAACAGAGGAGGCAAGAATATACAATGACGAAAAGACAACCTCTTTAACAAGTGGTGCTGGGGAAACTGGTCAACCACTTGTAAAAGAATGAAACTAGAACACTTTCTAACACCATACACAAAAATAAACTCAAAATGGATTAAAGATCTAAATGTAAGACCAGAAACTATAAAACTCCTAGAGAACATAGGCAAAACTCTCTGACATAAACCACAGCAGGATCCTCTATGACCCACGTCCTAGAATATTGGAAATAAAAGCAAAACTAAACAAATGGAACCTAATTATACTGAAAAGCTTTTGCACAACAAAGGAAACTATAAGCAATGTGCAAAGACAGCATTCAAAATGGGAGAAAATAATCGCAAACAAGGCAACTGATAAAGAATTAATCTCAAAAATATACAAGCAGCTCTTGCAACTCAATTCCAGAAAAATAAATGACCTAATCAAAAAATGGGCCAAGGAACTGAACAGACCCTTCTCCAAAGAAAACATACAGATGGCTAACAAAAACATGAAAAGAAGCTCAACATCACTCATTATCAGAGAAATGCAAATCAAAACCACAATGAGGTACCATTTCACGCCAGTCAGAATGGCTATTATCCAAAAGTCCTCAAGCAATAAATGCTGGAGAGGGTGTGGAGAAACGGGAACCCTCTTACACTGTTGGTGGGAATACAAACTAGTACAGGCACTATGGAGAACAATGTGGAGATTCCTTAAAAAACTGGAAATAGAACTGCCATATTGATCCTGCTGCTGGGCATACACACTGAGGAAACCAGAATTGACAGAGACGCGTGCACCCCAATGTTGATCACTGCACTGTTTATAATAGCTAGGACATGGAAGCAACCTGGATGTCCATCAACAGATGAATGGATAAGGAAGCTGTGGTACATATACACAATGGAATACTACTCAGCCATTAAAAAGGATACGTTTGAATCAGTTCTAATGAGATGGATGAAACTGGAGCCTATTATACAGAGTGAAGTAAGCTAGAAAGAAAAACACCAATACAGTACTAACACATATATATGGAATTTAGAAAGATGGTAACAAGAACCCTATATGCAAAACAGAAAAAGAGACTCAGATGTATAGAATAGACTTTTGGACTCTATGAGAGAAGTCAAGGGTGGGATGATCTGAGAGAATAGCATTGAAACATGTATATTTTCAAGTGTGAAACAGATCACCAGTCCAGGTTGGATACATGAGACAAGTGCTCAGGGCTGGTGCACTGGGATGACCCAGAGGGATGGGATGGGGAGGGTGGTGGGAGGGAGGTTCAAGATGGGGAACACATGTAAATCCATGGCTGATTCATGTCAGTGTATGGCAAAAACCACTACAATATTGTAAAGCAATTAGCCTCCAACTAAAATAAATAAAATAAAAAAATAAAGGCTCAAACAAAACAAAAAAATCAAAGAATCTGTGACCAAAGCAAGTTGTAGATTGCAAAGTTTGAAAATATTTACTATCTGTTCCTTTATAGGAATAGTTTGCTTGTTCTGTCCTAGAAACTTATAGTTGGGTCATAGTCAATACATATTTATGAGAATAGTTTTTTCCATAATTAGAATATTCAGTGAAATTCTGCTTCATATTTGCCTTCCAGAGGGGACAGTCTTTTTATTATAGAGTGATCTTATTGACTGCCATTGACTCTATAGTCATATTTTAAAAAAGAAAGGAAACAAGGACTGATTTTTTAATTGTTTGCAATAATATTCCAAGAAATGGAGATGCCTGGAGAATAACACACACACACATGCACACATACATTATGTAGTCTGTTCTACAGTTCCTGTACTTTTACTTAACGATTAGGTACTCTATGAGGAGTTTCTCCTTTGGACCTCATTCACAATTTTTCGGTTATTTTATTGAGGCATCAAAGGGATGCCATACATATATAATGTCTTGCTTGTAGAATAACCTGTGAGAATGGGAAGTGAATAGTCACTAGTTTTGGTCTGGATAGATAGGGCCATGTGTTAGGTGAGATGTAAGAATTAGAGGTGGGAAGGATCTTGTTAAATGTGGTTTCTTAGGTGCTAAACTCCCCAGATGCAGAGCATTGTATAATACCATCTGCTTTTGTCAGCAGATTTTGGTAATTATTGTTTATTTGATTCTGCATTATACCAATTCATCTAAAAGAAGAAAGTGATTTTTCTTTGTGTCTTTAACTTAGTGTAGAGAAGTAGAGAAATATATCCATAATGGAGAAATGAGGTAGAATTAAAAAATTTTGGTCCAGTGTGTTTATGGCTAAATTTGAAAGAGTCATTCTTTTGATTCAGGTAACTATCTATGGACAATTACAAATCATTATAGTGTAAAAATAAGTTATACTTTTGTAAATAAATAGTTTTAATCTCTTTTGCTTTTAACTGTAGAATTTGGAAAGTTGGTCAAGTGATTATAGAATAGTCATTGTTTGTTTGCTTGCCCATAAATATGAAACATTTGACTGATTAACTTTCCCCAAAAAATCTTTAGTCTTTTTTTTTATTATTTAAATAATCCATAGAGTCTTAATTGTTGGTTTCTTCTGTTATTATTATTATGCTTTATGGTATACTGACCATGAAGGCAAATATCCTTAAATATTTTGTCATTGCAAAATAAAACATTGGATTTTTTTATGACTTTTTAAAAATAGAGCTATGACAAGTGCTTTCTCGGATCTTCAGAAACTGCTGATGCAAATAGGGTGTTCTGTGGTCAGCTTGGTGCCGTGTATGTGTTCAGTGAAGCCCTCAACCCTGCACAGATATTTGCAATTCATCAGTTAGGACCTGGATATAAGGTAGGAAGATCATCTTATTATAAATTCTATGGAAAGTTATAGGTGTGAAATGTGAAATACTATACACAATTTAGTATATAATGATAGGTTTTCTTCAATGTAGTTTAAAAGTCATCTGTGTATTTTGGAACTGAGTCATTAGTTTGTTTCATTTTGTTTCAAAGGTGTTTTTTTCTCTTTTTAACTATTTTCCCCTTCCCTTCCTGAACTTTTTTTTATTCTTTAGAATGTTTTCTAATGATGAAGCCATAGCTTTTGTTGACATAATTCTTAAATAATAAATTTTGTAAAACCATATTGCTTAACATGATATTTAAAATCTCAAATTACAAGATATATGAATTATATTATGAACAAATATTAGAGATAACCCAAATAGAATAGTTAATGATTTTGAAGGAAAATGATGTAAAATATTAAATATAGCTGGAACTATTGAGTGTTAGCTTCTATTTTTTTGCTTGTTCTTTGCTGTTGCACGGAAGTGGGCAGAGTAGTGCATATTGTAATTTTGCAAGACTAATTATTTAGTGTGATTTACCATATTTTCTTGTTTTTTTTACTTTAAAAACAAAGATTTATTTAAGCAAGATATTGCATTCACTGGGCAGTACACCTGGCTGGGGAAATATATGAGTTTTGTGTAAGTCACATTTGGAATTGTGATATCCCAAACTGTATGGAGTTGAGAGAGAATACTACAGTGTAATTCAAAACATTTATAATTCTGAAGATCTTTCATGGAAGAATTGTTTTTCCTTTTTAAAACTTAGTGTTTAAATAATCAGTGTGAAGATTGTGCTATGGGAAAGGGAGTACTAAACATTAAAAATATTTCTCCTTATGCCTTTGCATTTTTGCATTAATATTTCTGTTTAAAATTTTATGTTCTATATTGGACATGTAAATGACAATTTGAATTTACCCTTATGAAAAGATATTTCTGTTCTCAGTGATTTTAATAACCATAATAGTATTGAATGACAGTAGTGCTGTCATTTTTATGTCAAGGTGACAGTACTGGCTGCCATCTTTTGTCCATTTTGTTTTGCTATCTATAGAAGTGAATTTGTGCTTGTTACAGCCACTTTTTCTTCCATGAATACTTTTGTTGAATTTGAGTCCTAGTTATGCCATGTGTTGAGTGTGCATGGAATTGTCTCTATAATTCAAATTTTTGAGTTAATATGCAACATGCCTTCCTTTCATACTTCTTTTCCTTATTCCATTTAAATATTTGAAGTTGGTTTCTTCAGGCACTAACAGAATGATATTAAGTTGGGTGACAAACTAGTGAAATATAAATAAAGTAGAAAATCAAGAAAATACAGCTTAAAAAGCCATAAATCTAGTGTGATTGCTATAATGAAACTTCAGAATTGGTGGGAGCTTATTAGCAGCAAAGGAAAAAAAAAAGGATTAAACATTAGCAGGTATTAACTCTCTCTTTCAGAAAGGAGCAAATATTGTTCTGAACTACTTTACAAACTAAGCAGTTTGTCACAGCAGCCCTTTCTTATCACATTATTTTATACCAATGGTGAAAATAAGTAGTAACTCTTTGTCACCTTGTTCTATATGCAAGTACTCATGTGATAAAGATATATTCCTTGAACTTTAGCATAGACAACAGAGTATATGTCATCATCTGCATCAGAGTCAGAACCTTTAAAAGAGAATGCTTCTCAGGATGTCCCCTGGTGGTCCAGTGGTTAAGACCCTATGCTTCCAGTTGCAGGGGGCACAGGTTCAATCCCTGGTCAGGGAATTAAGATCCTACATACTGTGCGGCCTGCACCCCCTGCCCCCCCCCCCAAAAAAAAAGTCCCAGAATTAAAGTAATACATTAAGAAAATGAGAAAGAAAGTGCCTTTTGGGCATTTCATGAAAAAAATTTCAAGTTTTGAAAGTTCCCAGTCTGTAGGCTTAGCCTATGGATTTCATTATTATTAATGGAGATTGACTGTTAAGTTCATGGGTGTGTGCACTTCCTCATCTTGTGAATTTAAAAAGTACAGTACCATCAGGACAGGCACCTGCAAAAATTTTGATATTGAAACTATTTCTGGAAATTTAGAAAATTAAGGAAGGGTACAGAGGATGCAAATGAAGATCAGATTGTGTTATGACATGGGACAAAGCTGAGGTGGCTCACACAGTATAGTCTCGGTTTCCTTGGTAAGTAGGAGGCAAAGTCACTTCCTGTGAGAGAAGGGGTAACAGGTTGTAGTGGAAATTTTAAGGTATGTCAGTCAGTCAGTTCAGTAGCTCAGTTGTGTCTGACTCTTTATGACCCCATGGACTGCAGCACGCCAGGCTTCCCTATCCATCACCAGCTGCCAGAGCTTGCCCAAACTCATGTCCATCGAGTCAGTAATGATATCTAACCATCCCATCCTCTATCATCCCCTTTTTCTCCTGCCTTCAGCCTTTCCCAGCATCAGGGTCTTTTCTAAGGAGTCAGTTCTTCACATCAGGTGGCCAGAGTATTAGAGCTTCAGCTTCAGAATATTCAGGACTGATTTCCTTTAGGATTGACTGATTTGGTCTCCTGGCCGACTGAGGGACTCTTAAGAGTCTCCTCCAACACCACAGTTCAAAAGCATCAATTCTTTGGCACTCAGCCTTCTTTATAGTCCAGTTGTCAACATCCATGCATGACAACTGGAAAAACCATAGCTTTGTCTAGACCGATCTTTGTCAGCAAAGTAATGTCTCTGCTTTTTAATATACTGTCGAGGTTGGTCATAGCTTTTCTTCCAAGGAGCAAGCATCTTTTAATTTCATAGCTGCAATCACCATCTGCAGTTATTTTGGGGCCCAGGAAAATAAAGCCAGTCATTGTTTCCGTTGTTTCCCCATCTATTTGCTATCAAGTGATGGGACCGGATGCCATGGTCTTAGTTTTCTGAATGTTGAGTTTTAAGCCAGCTTTTTCACTGTCTCACTTTCCTTTTTTCCTTTGCCTTTTACTTCTCTTCTTTGCTCAGCTATTTGTAAGCCCTCCTCAGACAACCATTTTTCCTTTCTTTTTCTTGCAGATGATTTTGATCACTGCCTCCTGTACAGTGGCACAAACCTCAGTCCATAGTTCTTCAGGCACTGTATCAGATCAAATCCCTTGAATCTGTTTGTCATTTCCACTGTATAATCATAAGGGATTTGATTTAGGTCATAAACTGTATGGTCTAGTGGTTTTCACTACTTTCTTCAATTTAAATCTGCAGTGTGCAGTAAGGAGTTCATGATCTGAGCCACAGTCAGCTCCCAGTCTTGTTTTTGCTGGCTGTATAGAGCTTCTCCACCTTCGGCTGCAAGGAGTATAATCAATCAGATTTTGGTAGGGTATGTTAATTAGTTGGCATTTGGTTTAAATTAAAAATGAAGCTTATATCATTAGGTGTTATATAATAACACAATGTTTGTGTTTTTTGCCTCAAAATGTCTGCAGAAAAGAGACACCAGAGAAAGCATTATAATGGTCAGACCATATTGTCTGTGATTTGGAGCTTAATGTAGATAGCATGTCAACATCTGGGCTTTGAAATAAATAAGTTAATTCTATCCACAAATAATGTCTTCACATCATCTATACCATGAAACCTGTCTCAAGTGATTTTCATCTGTAGATCATTAGAGTGCTAGGCAGTTTTCTTTATCTGAAATGCCTGATTTTAAGCACTGTAACTTGTCAGTGAATATTTTGTACCTGGTTATCTTTGGTAAACAGAAAATGAGGTAGGATATCACTGATTAATTAAATAAATCATTAAGTTTGTGAGTAATTAATGGAATACAGAATTTCTCACTGTAACTTTTTCTAGTTTAGTAAAGTTGTATCTCATCTGGTAAAGAATCTGCCTGCAGTGCAGGAGACCCAGTTCAGTTCTTGGGTCGGGAAGATCCTCTGGAGAGGGGATAGGCTGCATACTCTAGTATTCTTGTGCTTCCCTGGCAAAGAATCTGCCTGCAATTTGGGAGACCTGGGTTCAATCCCTGGGTTGGAAAGATACACTGGAGAAGGAAAAGGCTACCCACTCCAGTATTTTGGCCTGGAGAATTCTAAGAGTCAGAGACAACTAAGCAACTTTCACTTTTCACTCTTGAGTTAGATTGATTTTGGAGCTCCGTTTGATTGCAGTTTTTTAGTTGCTTTCAAGGTTAAGAGTCATCTATAATATAAGATGGCATTTTGACATAAACTTGCAAAACAGATGTTTACAGAGTTTAGATATTTTATAATCATTACTGGAGATTTCCTAATTATGAAATAAATATGTGGAAAACAATTAATCTTCATTTGCTGTATATTTCAGTATTTAGTTTTGTGTTCTGTCTTCCATTCAAGAAAATGGTAGCATCATGATTTTTAACAGTTTATTATATCAAGATGAAGATCTAACTGATAGGGGGAAATGTATAAGACAACCATCAGAATTAAAAGTCACTTTGGAGATTTTTCAGTACTTATATGGAAGAGAAAGTTCCTAAGAAACTGATGTTCCCACAGATAACCATATACAAAGTCTGGACATAATGCAGAAGACATCAGAGCCTTGGAGACTGAATATAAAGCAGGCAAGTTATAGAGGAGAGTCAAAACATGGAACCAGGAGGTAGTCAGCATGGGCTGAGTTCCTCATTTTTTATATTGATAGACAAACTTCCTGGCTAGAAAAAATAAGGTAACAAGCATTGGGGCAGCCAGCAATACAGGATGAATAATAGGCCCTTAGAAAAGAGGCAGTCATAAAATGAATTTTGTGTTAACAACTGAAAGAAAACAGTTGAAGTGTGTGACTGACCCATGAAACCGTGTATGATCATGATAAATGGATACTAGATTGTAAATAACAGTTCAAGAAATGAACTGACATCTGAGATGCCACACATAGAAAAAAAATGACAGTCTGTAATCATATCTAAAAGAGAAAATGATCCACTGAAACAAAAGCATCAGGATATTTCAGAATATAGTCTCCACAGGATAATATCCAAAA